CAGGCATTTGAACATTGATTCTTTAATTATAGTGGTGCCAGCCTATCCACTTGAATTTCTAAAAAGGGAATTTTTACAAATCCAATTATCTTCTGAACTCTAGCATTTGAGACAAAAAAAAAAAAAAAAAAAAAAAAGAAAGAAAAGAAAAGAAAAAAAAAGAAAAAAAAATCCCTACAGATAATGTAGGAGAGAAAGAGAGAGGAGTCCTCCCCTAAAGATATAAGCAATTTAGCTTATATCTACATTTCAGGGTTGCCATATGTCAGATTAAAAGCAAAATTGCACCTTTAACAACACAGGAGCTATGGAGAATATAGGTGGTTGGAGGCAGAAACTACAGTAGAGAAGGTGCTAAGGAGCGAGATAAAAGTTTTTAGCTGGCAAATGGACGGTATTATAAAAACCAGAGATTGTGTTACAAGAATTTACAAAACAACTATTATTGCAGGTAGTTTTTAGGCTTAAGGAACATAATCCACAGTATAATGACATGCCTAGTAAAATAGCATTCCAATAAGGTTAGTTTTGCCTTCATTTTCATGTCTGTTGTATTTACGTTTAAGTTTTAATTGATGTTTTGATCATGTGTTTGACCCTGAGGAGATTGTGAAGGCTTTCATTTTTAAAATAAATTAAAAAGTGACATATTTAATATACACTAAGTGAAAATATCCTCCTTAAAGTACCCAGAAATGAGATCTTGTTGGTTCAATAAAACTTGATTTAAAACTTGCTACCCATGAGCACCATAAACCAAGACATTATTCTAGAGACTTGGGGAGAGGACATCAAATTGGGAAGAGGCAATGGAGGAATTAATTCTCAGATCCAAGTGTTGCCTGAACAGGGAAAGGAAGAAGACAGGAGCAAACATGAAGTGGGCAACATGCAAGTTCATTAGAAACAACAATGAGTGAGAAAGTCTCTCAATGACCAGTCCCAGAAGATAGAAGCTGTTTTGTTTATCTTAGTCAGCTCAACTCAACAGCTAGTTCAATAAGAAAATGAAACGAGGAAAGAGACAGAGATCATATTTTATTTATGTATTTTTTAAAATATATTTTATTCATTTTTTACAAAGAGGAAGAGAGAGGGAGAGTTAGAAACATCGATGAGAGAAAATCATTGATCAGCTGCCTCTTGCACACTCCCTACTGGGGATGTGCCTGCAACCAAGGTACATGCCTTTGACCAGAATCGAACCTGGGACCTTTCTGTCTGCAGGCCAATGCTCTATCCACTGAGCCAAACCGGTTTTGGCTAGAGATCATATTTTAAGTGTCACCTGATTTTAAAGTGTGGAGGCTCCATGAATTTCTCCCACTGCAGAAAATTAAGTGCTCTTGTTCCCCCAAGAATCTTAGAGGCAAGAGTGTGACCATCCTAGCCTATTGACTCAATACTTGGAGCCTGTATGACAATGAGGAGCTGTCGGCTCCATGGGTTCTCTCAGTGATTAAGCCTGGCCTCTTGCACAAGAAGCAGGCAAATGCATCCTATTGTTAGTTTAGCTTCATATACAGGGAAGCTTTTGTAGCAGCTGCTTATCTACTGGTATGAGTTGAGTCAAAGTAAGTGCTCATTATTTTCCACGTAGCTACTCATGTAACCTTGTATTTTCTATGGGCTGGTAAATTTTAGTACTTATCCACAAAGCTATTTTGCAACCAGGGACTCTAAATGGCAATTATTATACTAATGCTTAAATCAATATTTCATGCTTAGAGTTCTGTCTCTAATATATCCAAATGGAAGCAGACATTACACCAAGGACGGGAGAAAAGACATATTTTAGTAAAAAAAAAAAAAAAAAGGATGGGAAAAGAACAACACTGTCCTTTGAACCGATGCTTTTAAAATGAGATATTTAAAGAAAAATCTACCAGAATGATGGCTTACTTGACAAGGAAAGATAGCTTCCTCCATCCTCTCTGTTTACACACACTATTATTTCAGCCCATGGTGTTTTGTTTACTTTGGTAAGAAATATTTTACCCCCTCTGAGATAATTAATTTTTGTCAGCTTCACTGTTTATAAGGGAAACTGAGAAACTGTTAATTGAAATACAAAATGAGTCACTGTTTTCAGCAAATTTTTGGCAGCATTCTAATTTGTGTCAATCCCAGCCTAATTATTAGCTTCTTTTGGAAGTAGAAAGCATATTTGGTTTTTCTCTTACTGAATTATTTCTTCCTCTTTAAAAAAATATGCTGCCTGACAAAGGTTATATAATTTATATTAACATGAGGTGACATACCAGTACATTTGAAATACCACAAGGTTTAGTGCGTCATGCTTGGCTCTGCACAGTAGCTAAATATTTAGAAAGCCTACAGAATGTGGTCTTTCTCCTCCCCTCATTTCTACCCCATCATTTCTACACCCAGCCCAGCCAAAAACTGTGGTTCTTTTAAAGACCTTTTAGTAGATATTAAGCCACAGTATATGGCCCATCACTAATGACATCACTGAAGTAAACTTCCCAGAGTCATCAGGGAGAATTCACTTGGAAATTCAATTGAATGTCACTTGTAAAGGGCAGGCCCCTCGAAGAGGTGACCAGTCATGCATCCCTCAGTTATCTGTTGTGAAAGCATTAATCACTGTGAACTCATTTTCTCCTAATGCAGACACACTGCATTGTTTCACAGGAATTCTTTTCCAAATGATCATTAATGTAGAGAGCGGAAGCTGCTGCCAGTGGACAGTGCTAATAAAATCTATCAGATCAATGGCCAGTATAATGGGACTGTTAATGGTTGCTAGCAGGAGTTGGATCTTTCCTGGCTGCAGTATAATGAAGGCAGGTGGAGAGGCAGTGGCTTTGCTGGAAGGACAGCCCCATCTCTCACCTCCTGAGGTGGCCTCTGGGGGGAAAAAGCGGCATATCCCTCACAGCACATCCAGGGCTCTGAGGTTGGGAGCACAGGCACCAGCTGAGGGCTGAGGAGAGAGTCATGGGGTGACTGTGGGGACGGCTCTGCTACCACAGCCTCCTCCTACGGGTCAGGATGCATCCGGGTACTCGGGGGGTGCTGTGGGCATCCTAGAACTTTGCCTCTCCTGCTCCACATTGGGTTGGCAACGAGAGAAGAACAATATCACCATAAGAATCCTGGGCCAAGGGGCCAGCCCTTTATATGCACTTATCTCAGCCCTCAGGGCAGCGCCCCTAACGCATGTGCATTAGTTATTACCCCATTTTACAACTGAGAAAGCAGAAGTTCAGAAACTAGTCCAGGGCCAGATTCAAAAGTCATGCCTCTAAATATCATGTTCCTTTACTGGAGGGAGAGACACAGAAGCTATAGCCTAAAATCAGACCAAAACAGGAGGCAAGGTGCGACAGTGCACCTGGCAGTCTTTCCATTTGCATATCCTACCAGCCAGGAGGTTCAGGACCAGCTTGGGACAGATTATATAAAAGCTATGGTTTGTACCAAAGACTGTTTCTCTAGGCTTTGCTACTAAAATGTAAGCACCCAGGGCCTTAAAGAGGCCTAACTGCTCTGAGCCACCCAACAGCAGCCTTGACTGGGGGCTCCCAGGAGGCCCTCTCTGCTCAGTAACACCCTGTGCTTAAGACTTGTTCCTTCTCATCCCAACACTTGTCTTGTTTCCCATTATCTAAAGGTCTTTTGTAAAATGTATTATTATGTTTTTAACACTGTTTAAGTCTATATAATGGCTTGTCGCATGGAGGAGAGAGCACTGGAATAGGTTAGACTTTGTTGCTATCGTAAGCTCAAATTGTGTCATCTAAAGATTTTGGTCCTACTATACCTTAGGCCAAGTAAGGCAAGAGGAAGCTACTGCCTCCTGGGGCTGCCTCTGAGCAAAAGCATAATGGGATGGACAGCATAGCTGGGCATGGGAGCATGGTCATGCGGGCACTGTGGCATTCCTAAGCCCCAGGGACTACTGTAACCAAGGTGCTGACATAGTTGCCTTGGGACTCAGGAATGGGAATGGGATGGAGTTTGCAGAAAAAGGCTATGGATGCAAGAGGGATGAAAGAGGAATGACAAAAATGCAAAAACTGTAAAATGCTAACACTATCAGACATTCCCAATAAGCACAGAGTATGGCATAAGGGCAAAATTTAATTCCCAGATCAGCTCCCACAACTAAGATGCGAGTAGGCCTCTGTAGTATTTCCACGTGAAAACATCACTATTACTAAAGGCTTATTTCCTTGATTGTTTTAAAAACATGTTAAGGGTTTGAAAGATGTGAGAGAAGACAGATGGTTATGAAGGAGAGGGTTTAGCAGGGAAGGAGTGGGGAGGGCATAGAGGGTTTTGGAGGGAGTCTCTCACACACCCCACAACACCTATCCCATCAACAGGAAGCTTACATAGCGCCAAGTGCAATGGGGATGCAGAGATGAGCTAAGATGTGTTCTCTGGCCCCCAAGATTTTACAAATACACATCACAAGTGCTAGACTGCATGGCATAGGATATAAACACAGTTAGATTGGGTGAGAGCAATTAGCAAAAGGAAAATTCAGAGACAGTATCATGGAAAATTGCATTGGCTGTGAGAACACAGAAGAATGTTAATACAGGGAGAAAAGACACATTTAACACAGTTGAGGAATGAATGGAAGTGTGAAGGTGGGAGCAAGCACGCTGGGTACAAAGAAGAATGAAGGAAACATCCTTGTTTCAGTGGAGGAGTGAGTATGTGTGCACACATGTGTGTGGGTGTGTGTGTACATGTATGCATGTGTATTAGGAGAGGGAAGCAGCAGGCAATAAGCAGGACAAGATTGGGCAACAGAACATTAAAAAGAATATTGGTAGCCAGACAAAGAAGTTTGGATCAGTATGATAAGCAAGAGAGAGCCACTGGAGGTCCTTGGAGCATGATCTCAGCCCAGTTTTGGAAAGTTTCCTCTGGTAGTTGTGGAAAAAGTAAAATGAAGGGGGAAGAGAGGATTAAGAGACTAGGAAGCCACGGCACTGACATGACTGCCATCTTTTCTCCTGCAGCACACGTTCATACTCCCCTTTTCCCTGGTTGAAGTCATCCTTAGGCCACACAGCTATCCAATGAAGAAGAAAGGACTCAGCTTGTTGGCTGCTGCGAGTCTTGCTTACATTAGCAGGTAAGAATTGCAGAGAGAAAACCAACTTAAGCTTGTCATTCAAACCTCTGAGGAACATTCCAGAAGCATACTGTTCTGTAAAACTGTCTTTATATTGAGTTAATGGGGATTTAGTCATCTTTAAGTTTTCAAGTAAAAAGAATTTTGATTGTTTTTGATACTCGTGGACACATTCCAGCAAAAGAATACACAGCTGGTACAACACACACATATACACATGCAGCAAGTCATGAGTTCTTCTCTCCTTCATGAAGAATTAATCATTGCAAAGCTACTACATATGTTACTTTTCCCAAGAAAATGTTGATCTTTGGTTCCACTTGCAATTAACTGTTTGAACAGCTGAATGATCCAAGGCATGTAAATATATTATTATACTTCTAAAGAGGCATGTGACAGTTTAGCATGCTAGGTGTGTTCCATTCCTGTTGCCTGCATCATTATGGGTTTATTTGCATCAACATCTGGCACTAGTGCTCCTAGAGGGCATTTGGGCAATTGCCCAGGGGCTTGCAGAACAGCCTCGCTGGAGTCATGTAAGCTCAGTTAAGCAGCTGCCCTAGATTTTATCATTCAACCACCTGGCAACACTAATTCTCAGAAACACTGCCCAGTGATCTGTAATCAAGGGAAAGTGCTTGGTCTTCCACCCAGTAAGTGGAAACCCCTTTCCATTTTAGAGCCTTCTCATCCACTCCATGCTTTTGCTTTACTGAAAGAGGCATGCCAAGCAAAGTGCCTGCATATCAGAAGCTAATTACGATGTTCCCTCTCTAGTCTAGACTCACATATACTATTCATATCTGACAAGCTGGGTAATCCTCCAATACCTATGTAGGGAAAAGTTTAATGGAACACTGTGCTCTGCCAGAAACAAAAGCCAGAAAGAAAACACATTCCACAGGGGCTTGGGCTCTCAGTGCCTGCTCCATGGGCTTCACGAGCCTTTGTCTTAGAGCAAGTGACCTTCATGCCAGAACTCAGATGATGGCTCCTTCCTTGTCTTTCTTTCCCTTTTGTGAAGCTTGCTCCTCCCACCCTCATATCTTCTTTCCCCGAGTGCTCAAACTCTTCCTTGCTTCTCCTGTTTTAAAGAAAGTATTTAGTCAGTTTATTCCAAGATTCCAGTGATCTACACTGTCCTCCAGCCTGGGGCCTTTGCATTTTAACAAAGGTCATTTTAGAGAATATTGCTTAAGTTGGGGACCTACTGGTAGCTGATGTTGGGAGCCCTGTGCTGGGAAGGGTTCTTCTCAGGCCCTAAAAAAGAACATTGTATTAGAGCTCATTGATATCAGCCAATAGCATGAGAATGTAGATTAACAGGATATATTCCATGTAGTTGCCAAATCTGTCTTGACTCAAAGGAATAAACCCCTAAAGACAGAATACTTGGAACCCAGGATGAGGTAAAAGTATATATCCATAATGATATGTCTGTTGCATGTGTTGGGAAGAAGGAGGGCAGTAGCTGGTTGATTATATACATGCATTTCTATACTCTGCTTTCTTTGGTTTGTTTGCTTTGGCTTGGTGAACTTTAATCTTATTTACTCTTTCTTGCCAAGTATAACTTCTGCAGTTCATATATAAGATAGTACTTTTGATCTATTAATTTTTTCTACCTAAGAAATTGGAAGTTGATCACTAATCCTCAGATCTGACCCTTGTTATTTTCCTCCTCAGAAACCAAGAACACACAAGAGCACCATGGCTTAGCTACCATTTGGGGGGAAATTGCAGTGGTCATAAAAGATGAGAAACAGTAGTCAAGAGGGCTTGGCTTGTTGGTGCCTGGCATGTGTTCTGACAATGCAGGGAACTGGGCGGTTGGGGAGAAGAGATGCAACAAGATGGGGGTCAAGTGTGAGTACCTCACAGGTCCGTTCAGTTGTTCACTGTGCTGAGTTACCAAGGACACAGGAATGTACAAGATACCATGCTGCCTCTCAGGGATTTCTGGGAGAGAAGAAAGTACACACACAGTGGGAAGACAGGATGATGAGACTATAATAGGGGCAAGCACAGGGCATTGTGGGATGCTGAGGACTGTCTTCTTAAGAAAAGAATGTGTAAGCTGAGACCCAAAGAATGAGTAGGAAAGACCTTTAGGCAGAGGGATCAGCATCTTTGAAAGGCTGAAGGGAGCTGAGGGTGTGGCTGAATTGCAGGACAGGGTAAAACTAGATCATGAATTCACATCAATGAGTTTGGACTTAAACCAGAGGGATTTTCTGTGGAAAACGTTTTAACCAAAGGAATGAAATGATGTGGCTTATGTAAGAAAGTTGGTTAAAAAGTTGCTTTTGGCTGGAGTGTGAAAATTAAAGAGAAAAACACGGGGAGACCAGTTGGTAGTATTTGTGAGACTTAGTAGTAGCCAGTTGATGACAATATCAATCAATTTCAAATATAATTAGAGAAGGTGGGCAGGATAAGGAGACTTAGAGACCACCTAGCATTGGAGACCTGAATTCTCAGTGGGTTCAATGACATGCCCAAGGTCATGGGGACAAGGGAATTCAAAGCTGGGACTTAAATGCAGGTCTATTTTAAAATCCAGTTTTCTTTCCAATCTATTCACATGGCCAGGTATTTGTTCAGCTCACTGTATGTGCAAAACATATTCCACTAAGTGCTGCAAAAAAGCTTAACATGGGTATGCAAAAAAACTTAACATGGTCCCTACTGTCTAAAAGCTTTCATGATGTAGTGTCCAGCACTGTGCTTGTGATCGAAAAGTGATGCAATGGAGCAAGTGGGAGGAAGCACCAGCAGAAATGTGACTGGGTGCACCCAGTGATTTGGGTTTTGGACCTCCTTATTAACAAAGCAGTAAATCAGCATTTGGTCCATCAGGCCCCTTTATTTCTAAATCAAATGCACCTGTATGTGGCCATGTTGTGCTGCACCACTGACTGAAGCTTCCCCATTTCTATTCATTCCTCAGTTAAGGGAGTTCAGACTGTTTGCTGCCTACTGTCTCCACCCTTATGCAATGCTCAGAGGCCCATGAACCTTCAAAGCCACAGGTGGCCATCAACAAGCTCCACAAACTGTGGATATCCATGGAGATGTTTTGGGGAAGTGGCTGTGGGTCAGCTGTTAGGCGTGCCTGTTTGGATGGTCAAATAGGGAAACGGTATAGCAGAAATGAGGTCAGGAATATGGGCCCGGGCCAGACAGAGCGTGAGAAACAAACACGAGTCAGAAAAATGACAATAATTCTAAGCCAGGGAAGCATTTCACTGCAGAAATCACATCACAATGACCTAAAAATAATTGCCGAGACCGTGGGGACTGCCTTACATGTGGAACTTGCTTTTTGTTATTTTTCAGATTGCAAAATTGGAGGCTGGCCCCTAAGTGGAAAAATAAAGCTTTGCAAAGTAGTAATAACTGCAAATCTTTCATTTCCTTTGGAAAGCATTAGTCACCTATAAATGTGGTAGCTCACTCACTCCTCCCTTCTCTCTCACCTCAGAATACCTCACCTAGCTCTCTCTGCGGCCATGGTGAGGAAGAGGGAAATAGAAATTTTTCTACTGCTGGCTCTTATTCATTCTCTTTTTGAACAAATATTTCCCCTAACACAAGGCTGGTCTTGCTGGGAAAAGCAACGGTATATAAGGCTAACCCAGCCTGTAGGGGATTTGTAGCTAATAAGGGGAGATGAGCTGTGCACTCAAATTATAAGACACACAATGGGAAGTGATAAAATGTCAGAACAAATACAAGGAGCCAGAGAAACCTGGAGGAGGAAGTGGTTGTGTCTTGCTGGCCAGTGTGGAAAAGGTACGCGTTGGATGTGGGCAATAAAAGATTGGTAGGATTGGAGCTTCAAAAAATGAGAGAAAGTAGTCAACACAGCATAGTCCCAAGGCCAAAGGAGAACAGGTCACAGAACAATGGTCAGCAATTTGCTCTTACTGAAAGAAACTGATAGGAAATCACACTGGAACTGCCCTATTAAGGGGCTTGTGGATAATAGGCTAAAAGAGGAGACATAGTTTAGACAATGTGAGATTTGATTGTCACTGTTGTTTACTTCTATGGCATGGAGGTGGGAGTGGGAAGTATTAGTGACATGGCCAGAGAATTATGCTTTCAAAAGGTATCTTGACAAGAATGGTGAAGACATGGGAAGCAAAATAGAATAAAACAATAAACAAATAAAAGTTATCTTGAATATTCTTTCCATATAGTTTAATCACATTGTTTTATTCTTTATCCATGGTTCTTTAATAGTCCCAATGTCATTCCAGGTCCAAGTGCTCAGAGCACCTACCTCTATGGAGTTCTAATAATCCAATGAGTGCTCACACATGCCTTTGTGGTTCATAGTCCTGAAAACTGCTCTCCTACACAGACTGTAGAGCCACAACACCTAGTGTTCTGGGCCCAACATCACCTGGTTCTGCTTTAGGGTTAGTATTCTACCCCCATTGCTAACAATGCCACGCTACCATTGCCCCTATGATGGTAGAAATAGAACTGTGCTGCTGACCACTGCCACAGCCACAGCTAGCCTGGAGGATATCACCACCTTGATTTTGGTAGACCAGAAATCTGCTTATGCCATAAGTATTTGTGCTAGTGTGCAAGGTATTGCATGCACAGTGTGACTGTTGCACAGATATGCAGCTATAAGTCAGCCTTGGGGAAGATATTTGCAAAGTCACTTTTCAATAACAGTTTGTATGAGATGAGAGAGAGGATTCCTTTCTCCTATACTGTGCTTACTGAGGTGAAGACCACAGCTAAGCAGCCAGGGAACCTGGCAGGTTTAATAGTCCTCTAAGTTAATGCAGCCATTTACACATACACACTTATAAATACTGACATCATATCCCCAGAATCCCTTAAAAACTGCCAGAGGGCTGGGCTAAGCTTAGTTCCAGGGTCAGCCACCTCGCCAGATTTGGCATGACCATCCTCTTCTACTCCCACTAGTGCATTGTGTGAATTCTCTCCCAGAACCAGTTACCTGAAATATGACCTTCTGGGGCCATGTAGATACTGCATAGTTTCATAACTTCAAATTTTCATGGGGATCAGAATCTTAGCCCCATTTTTCCAAAGGACTCCTTAGTTCTCTTGTAAATTAATATATGAAAGTAAATATAAAAATGCCACACAGCTTCTCTTGTTATCAATGTTGGGGCCCAGGCTAGCCAGCATGGATATTGAAGAGGGGTGAGAGTGAAGGGCTGGGAGAGGAAATGGCTATCTATGTTCCTCATCCTTCCTGTCCAAAATCAGTTCCTGTTACAGAAATCAGGAATAAGAACAACCTGAAGAGGGATACAGCTATACAATCAGTAATGAGGGAAATACCTAAGATTCATTGTTTGAAGTAACAAGGTTCTATGGATTGATTGGCAAGTAGAAGACAAATGCAAATGAAAATATCAAGGATAATTCTCAGAATTTTCAGCCAGCAGCTTGGAAAGATAGTGCTTCCATTAATAGATGTAGAGAAGTTAGGAAAGAAATAGTTTTTGGGTATAAATAAAAACTCAGTTTAAAATCCCATATCTAAGCCTCATTTCAAAAGATTCTGATTAAATTGGTTCAGGTATGTCCTGGGCATAAGAATCTTAAAGCCCCCAAGGCAATTTAATCATCAGTCAAGGCTGAGAACCACTACTCAGAGAAACTTCTATTTGGTTAATCAAACCTGGCTGAAGAGATTCAGATTTTAACCCTCCTGGTGAGATGAGATTGCTGGAGTAGTGAGAGGAGTGGGGGAAGGGAGATGGAGGAGGGAAGGGAGGGAGAGAGAGAGAAAGGAAGGGGAGAAACATGGGAAGAGAATACTGGGGAAATGTCCTCATGTGAATAATACTGCTAGGAGCATAAGTGTACAAGTATCAATTTGAGTCCTTGCTTTCAACTCTTTTGGGTATATATCCAGAAGTAGAATTGCTGCATCATACAACAATTCTATGTTTAATTTTTTTGAGTAGCTGTCATGTTGTTTTCCACAGTAATTATACCATTTTACATACTCACCAATAGTGCACAAAGGTTCTAGCTTCTCCACATCCTCTACACTTAATATTTTCTGCTGTTTTGATAGTAGCCATTCTAATGGGTATGAAATGGTGTCTCATTGCAGTTTTGATTTGCATTTACTGAATGATTAATAATGTTATGGGGAAATGCAAATCTTTTCATGTGATTGTTATCCATTTATATATCTTTTTTGGAGAAATGCCTATTCAAATCCTGTGTCCATTTTTAATTAGGTTATTTGTTGAGTTATAGGAGTTTTTATATCTTTTGGATATTAATCTCTTATCAGATATATGATTTGCCAACATTTTCCCCATTCCATACCTCCCATTTTCACTCTGTTGTACAGAGATAGCCACTAAAATTTAATGCCTCATCCTAGTCCTGGCCCTGATATTAGTCCTTGTCTCATCCACACACATTTGACAAACTTCAACTTTTGAAACAAGATGACATTTGGGTTTCTGAAAGTTTAATTAAGCACAGAATTTTATTCTTCCACCTTTTGATAACTTGAATATTGTTTATGAAGCATAACCTAGCCTATCCTAGGTTATAAGAGATGAACTGCCTCAAAGAAAGGTTTCTTAGAAGACTCTCACTGTGTGATCCCAGAGAAGATGTTTTTAAACTGTTATTAAATTACTACAATATGCCAGGCAATGTTCTATTTTATGGGTTAACTCCCTTAATCCTTACTATGGCTTCTAAAGTGCATGATATTTGTACCCCGATTTTATACATGAGGGCAGGGGCAGAGATTGAATAAATTGATGAAGGCAGCATGACTAATAGGTGTCAGAACTGGAATTTGAATCATGGAGGTCTGGTTCCAGATTCTGTACTCTAAACCAGTTATAAACTGTAACTGATACATCATCTTCCCCATATTTGATTTTATGAAACTGACGCACTGCCTACTGCACTGAGGGCAACCTCCCCACATTTAATTTTAAAAGTTATTTCAGACTTTGGCACCTTCCAGTGCAGTTGATTTCCAGAGAACTGCATTTTTAGGCTTAACTTAAGACATTGTAACTCCTCTTCTAGCATTTTTTTCCTTCTCTTGGCTTACAGAAATGATTTATATTCTATCCTCACATGAGCAAAATCTGAGCCTTCTGTAATTCCATCCATTCCTACTTAACACTCTATCCATGGCTATATCCAGGAAGTAAAATCAAGGTTGATAATGAAAATCAAGGCATATTGTGTTATAGCAATAATGTTCAATCTTTGTCTCTCCTACCCCAAAAGGCTTGGAGAGCTAATAGAAAGTAACACATGACTCAAGTACAGAAATACAAAGCCCACCTGTGTGGCTGAGAGTAGGCTCAATGTTTCAGCAGGTTATATTATACCTCTCAGGGAAAGGGATGACTCATGTTCTCAAGTATTGTCTTTGACTAATGATATATTCAATGTCTTCCCACATTTTTTCACCATAATTGAATTTGATAGATTAGGTAAAATAGCCAAGCCCAGCCCATGAAATAAGATGTCTCATTGAATCAAATCTATCTAGAAAAGACTCACTTTTGTAGGTTTTTGGAACACCCAAGCTATTGGGTAATATCCCCTATGAATTTTTTTGTTTGTTTGTTTGCCTGGGCTCTAGAATTCATTGATATTGAACAACATAAACTGATGAACAGAAAACAGATCCAGAGACAGAGAAGCATTGATCAGACCTCAGAGAAAGGAAGGGGAGTGTGGGGGGAAGGGGGAAAGATCAACCTTGTAGGACTTGTATGCATGTATATAAGCATAATCAAAGGACACAGACACTAGGGGGCATGGGTGGGGATGTGGGGGGGGATCAATGAAGGGTTAAGGACACATATGTAATACCTTAATCAATAAAGAAAATAATAAATAAATAAATAAATAAATAAATAAATCATAGCTTTTCTTTCTACTGTCCTAATCATTGTGGCTTGTCATTTTCTGCAGGGTCCTTTGGATCTACTCTGAGACTGGTACGTGGGTATATCCTGTGTTTGCCAAACTCAGTCCAGTGGGCCTAGCAGCCTTTTTTTCGCTCAGCTACATCTGTATTGCCAGCATCTACCTACTTGGAGAGAAGCTCAACCATTCACAATGGGGTCAGTTTATTTCTATTTTACCTGCAGACTCTTCTTCCTTGTCCTTTCTCCATTCTCCTAGAAACAAAAGAAATTAGTTCAAAGCAGAAAGCAGAAAGCAGTGACCTTGATGCTTGTGCCAAAGACTCAGATGGGTCTTATCAAGATAAGCAAAGGAAAAGCCTAGGGAAGTTCATACTTTCTCAAAGAATCCCATCACATTATCTCCTCTCCTCCCATAAACCTTTAAGGCTAGAAATGATCTTTAGAGAATTTAGGACCCAGAGAGCAAGGTGTCACCAGGCCTGGCATAAAAAAATGAATTCAGGGTCATCCTCTTTTAAGTAAGGGCTTGAAGGATACAATATGTTTAAATGTCAAGGTTTTTTGTTGTTTGTTTTGCTTTGGTTTGATTTGAAGGAAATGACCCTTTTAGCTCTTCCAAACTCAGCAGTGCCTTCTGGGATGAGTTCCCATCCCTTTCGCATTAGGTTGCTTTTCAACCTTTAGTGAAGCATTTACCAGATAAGATCACATCCTGTACTTGAGATTGAAATTCTCATTTAGACAGGGTCTTGGGCAATGAGAATATGTCAGCAAGCTAAGCTTTCTAATTATAGGTCGGTAGAACCATGTTGCTTCTTCATAAGAAAAAATAATCTTAAAGTAGTTGATTTTAAAATGGAAAGTTTCATTCTCCTCCCTGCTTTCCCCACCACCCCAATGCCCAAAATATTATTTTGTTGGAAAATTAACCACCAAAAAGTCAAAATTGCACAATACCCACAATTTTTTCCCCACCCGAGGAGAAGTACAGGAACTCTACCCTGATTTTGTATATAAGGAAGGCAAGAGTTACATACAGTCCCCCACGTCACACACCCACATGCCATTCTGTTATATCAAAATAGAAGTGGCAGAAGTGGCATCTTCTACCCAATTTATGAACTGGTTTGAAAACATAAACTGTGTATGAAAAAAACACACAATGCAACAGTTTCAGAAGGCTCAGTACAAAAGAGTATATTTTTGAGAGGATATTGGGACCCTGGATAAGCAATTTGTTCATGCTTTCTATTTTTGAAGAATTTAACTGATTAAGAAAGTCCCAAAGGTAATAACCTCCTTGAAAACACTTAAAAAATGGAATACTAAAAATTAATCCCAACATTCAGATTCTAAATCACAGAAAACTCCAGGAGAAAAAAAAAAGTGTTAACATTTCAAATGTGTTGATATCTAATTCTAACTTATTTTGGCTCCTTGAAAATCAGGATAAAGATTTCTGATGCCTTCCCCAAATCTATCTTTATAAAAATAAAAGAAAAGAAAAAAGAAACAAATCCATATAAAATTTGACAGATAAAAATGTACAGACAAAAAAAAAATTGAGCGTAGAAAACAATAATTTTTTAAATATATATTTTATTGATTTTTTACAGAGAGGAGGAGAGAGGGATAGAAAGCTAGAAATGTCGATGAGAGAGAAACATCGACTGGCTGCCTCTTGCACACCCCCTACCAAGGATGTGCCTGCAACCAATGTACATGCTCTTGACCGGAATCAAACCTGGGACCTTTCAGTCTGCAGACCGATGCTCTACCACTGAGCCAAACCAGTTTTGGCAACAATAACTTTTTTTAATCAAAAGTATTTAGTTCAATAACGATTGATTTTTAAATTGTTAAACAGAGACTTTGAAACATCCATTGAATTAAAAAACAAAATTTTCACAATATTTAATATTAAGTCATTATTTTCAACACCAAGCTCTTTTTAATAAGCCTTGTTGTTTAAGTACTAGATTCATTTTTTCATTACAATTAGGTCCCACTGAGCAAACAGGCCAGCATCACCATGTGGGCTTTCATTTACATGTGCATATGTGAATGTTTATATGAGGGATAAACTATTGTAAGTGGATAGAGACTACTATGTCTCTCCTCTCTCTAGATTTCTAACTCCTTAAAAATCGAATGAGTGAAAACTCACTCATGCTATATGGCATCAGAATAGGATTATAATGTGTTAAATTCTTAACACATTATAATGTGTTAAGATCTTAATTAAAAAAGGTTGAGTAGACATTAAGAGAGTAGATTACTTAAAATTCTAATGGCAGTGAACACTTTTAAATTGTCTAAAACTAAACAGAGCTATCTATGCAAACACATGTTCTCATGTCCTAGTGGGCTTAAAGCACTCTAAGGCTTCCCTCAACTATATGACTTGTGTCAATACCATTAGATTACCTCTAACTAGGGCAGCTGCACATCTCAGTTGGGTTCTGGCTAATGCCTGCTCTGCCAACGGGCACACAGTATAATATTGTCTATGCTTGGACAGTCAATTATGTGGATCCTCTATCTTGGGTTCCTCTCCAAACCTTCTGTTCTGGATCTACTCTGTTCAAATCCAGGGTTAACCCTACTGTCTAATATCCTTCCGCAGTCTGAGATTCCTTGAATGAGAACAGAAATTCAAAGGAGTGCATTGGTGACGTGATGGGAAGCAGTGGTTAGGGGAAAAGTTCTGTGCCAGACTGCATGGGTTCCTATTTTGTTTTTACCATTCACAGATGTGTAACATGCAAAAAGACTTGATGTAATTTTGTTTCAGTTTTCACTTGAGCATCATGAAGCCAATATTAGTACTCACCTCCTAGGAGCCTGGAGAACTCTAAATGACTTGGGTAGTGTCAAGGGCCAACAACAGGGCCTGGCACATACAGTTAGTCACTATTGCAGTTAATCTCATTCTCCTCCAGAAAAATATCAGAAACCTTCTTGTCTATGTTGATGTTCCAATTCCCCCCTTCTATTTTTTTCATAAATTACCAATTCCCCCAGGCAAGGCAATGAAAAGTAACAACCGCCTAACTGAATGCAAATTGTCAGAGATGGTGCAGTTCTTGAAGAACTTAATGAGTGAAATAGGAGAACAAGCAATTCAAGTTAGAATTGTTGGAATCTGTTTCTGAAATGCTGAGGCCAGTATAGCCCAATTGAGAGTCCTGGACAATAAGTTGACTGCTGCTCTGGCCACACCTACTACATATGGAAGACCTGACATTTTTGTTTGGAAGCCCATGGCCACTCTCCTTACATCCTTGAGGGGTATGTTGAGGCCTGAGACCATAGATCCTTCCCCTCCTAAGGAAAGTTTAGGAGATGAAAAGTTCAATCTGGCCAAGTGACAGGGTGATAGTATCTTGGGCAGAATGACATTAAAACCTTCCTTTAATACTCTTTGCTCCAGAGCAATTTGTTGTTTTTTGTTTGCTTGTTTGTCTTAAAGGAGATTTTCATTGGTAAAAGCTGTTTAAAAGCCATCTAGTCTACCTTCTTGGTTTTATCCATGAAGAAATAATTTATAAAGACTGCCTTACATGTTGTCCCTGATCATTTCATAACAAAAGGATCTTATCATGACATTACTCTTTAAGTATTTCTAAAGCTTTTTTTGTCTTTCTTGTCTTAACTTTTTTTCCCCTAAATAGTCTACTCTATATTATTCCTTATCCCTCTTCCTCTGCCTCTTTACCTTCAAGGTTTCTCCAGCCATCCTCAACTCCATCTACTTCCTGCTACTTTTGCACTGTGACTGAACTCATTGGTGCTCAAATCTCATTCCTCTAACATCTCATATCCCTCTAACCATCTGCTATTTTGCCCTTTTCCAAGCCAACCTGCTGAAAATAGGCAAATATTCTTCAAATTTTTAATTTGAAGTCTAGCAGTAGCTTTTGTGGTTTTAGATACATAGTGTAAATCTTTGTGAACAGTATGTTTTTAGTTAGCTCATGTCCTGACTACTTAAATAATAAGTTGTATAATTATATATAATATACATAGTGATATTGATTAAAAGAATGTGCTTTTTTTGTTTTTTTGTTTTTACCATGCCAGCAGAAAACATTTGGATTTTGCAGAAGAACATTTAATGTTTGGCCTAAAATATCTCTACTCCTTGGTACTATATAACGAGGATAAAGAAAGGACTAAAGACAAAAGTGGACCTAACTCCCTAACCACAAATTAGGAACCGTTCCACTCAGAAAAACTCCCATAAATGAAGAAAAGGGTGATAACAAACAACATAATTTCTCAATTATGTTGGGAATTCAGAGTTTGAAATCCATTTTGTGAACTTTGTTTGGGTAAGATTATATGATCTATTATTAAGTCAACAGTTTCCTTATCTCTGGAACTATGGAAATATGGTAAGAGAGGAATTCTGAAGAAGTCTAGAAACTGCTCAGCCCCATGAGAATTCAAGACTAAGAGCCCACCCTCACTTGTAAAACAAAAAGAAAACATTGTTTCTGTTATATTCACATCATGTAAGTCTCTAGAGAATGAAATGACTATTGGAACTCCATGCAGATATATTTTCGGGGGGCCCATGCCTTCTCTAGCACAGTGGTAGGTATGTGAGAATTCCTTAGTGCTCCATCTAGCTGCTTGGAGTTGGATGTGGGAGACTCTGATCCACTGCAAGGAGCCAGAGGAACTCAGAGGAACTCCCACAACTACTTCCATTCCTGCTTCTGCTGCTTCTCTCTAAGCCTTCATATTCTGTTGTTTCTTAAATAAAGACGGAGTCTCCAATCTTTGGCACCTGGGGTTGAGGGAGTGAGGTTATGATAATATTATAGTTAGACTCAAAGCACTGGGGGTTGGTAAACAATATGGGTAATGAAAGCTTTAGGAGCCCTCAGAATGACTACAGGGGAACAAATTTGAAAAGTTTATATTGGCCAAGCCCTTGAACCTGAGGAAATAAATATGTTTTTAGTTGAAAAATTATGCATTAACAGCCCAAAGTATATACTTCAGAAAAGAGATGGTATTTGTACTTATAGACCTAATATAGATAACCTAATTGGGGAGGAGAGAATTCACATAAAAAATAAATAGTAAGTGGAAGCATAAATGAGGAGAACAGGAATCCTGTAAAGCTGGATAAATTTGTAAGACTGCTGGAGTGACTGGAGGCAGTCTGAACTGATGAGGATGACAAGAACAAGGATGAGGACTGTCCTTAAGAATGTGGAGAGACACCAATGCATGGATGGCCATGACATCTGTTGTGATTAGGAGCTGGCTGTCCTAGAAAATCAGTGTGATGACCAGGCCATAGCAGGACTTCAAGTTGTCAGTTACTAAAGCCTCTGAGAAGAGGTTTTCCAATGACATAAGTTAGGAAAAGATTTAGAGATTACTGCTAAGGATATAATTTAAGGGAATGGGGGGAGTCAGGGTTTAAAGCCTGAAATTAGGAGCATGAGGCTGCTATGGTACCACAGAACCAGATCTAACAGGGCTCTAACTTCCAGAAGGAACAAGCAGAGACTGAGTTGAAAAGTTTTCAAAGCAGAATTGGTAGCATTTACCAATAGACAGGATAATGAGTTAGTAAAGTTTCAAAGCTTATGCAAAGATTTATGATCATTAAATATGGAGGTAACAACTTGTTTGGGTAAATGGAAGTCATTCTAGTAGTCTAAGGCTATAATTTCAGCTGAATAAAGACCTTTTATGATCTTATTAAAAACCAATCAATATGTAAGTACTTTTCTTCCCCGGTTGATAAGTTGATTTAGTGAGAAGTCACAAAATGACCCCTAATTAGGTGAATATTCACTCTTTCATTTCCTTTCTAATTTGATGTGGTCTCTTTGTCTCCATATGTAAAGCCTCCAAGTTTGTTGATGGATTGTGTATAGCTCTGGGTACATGTGGCCAAAAGCAAGAGCAATCATTGGCTCATGTTAGATATACAAAACCACATGAAGTCCAAGGGCATCATTGGTCAACTGGCTGTCTATGAGCTAAGCACCAACAGGGGACAGCAGGGTGGTTTCTTGCTGTTTTGATAGTGGTGGTATGTTTTTAGAACTCCTTGAAGGACATCCTTTTGCCTGAGTAAAAGTCCTTGACTTTCCACTGCCTGAAGTCAGGGTGAATGTCAATCTACATAAGAACCCATCAGGGAAACCCTGAAGTCTGAATTCTCTCTCTGTTCTTGTTTGCACAGGTGACATGAGGCAGCCAAAGAAGAAGAAGTGATTGTATGCTGTTTTCCAAGAAAAAGAAAGCACAAGAGGGTGTTCTTTTTCCATCTTTTTGGTTTTATTTTTTTATTTTTTTGTTTTGTTTATGTGGATTGTTTTTTTCTTTTTGTTGTAGGGAGGTGGTAGAGAAACATAGGAAAGTAAAAAGGACAGAGAACAATATTTAAATTAAGAATAGGGTATGAAGGTAGCTCAATCTGAGGACTCTTGGGTTTTAAAAGGCCATACAAAATTAACTCCTGCTGTCTCAGAATTTGTGACCTTTGTCTGAACTCTGTATAGTATGGTCTGTGGTCAAAATCTGCCCAGAAGCCAAAGAAACTCATAAACTCAGAGTCAGAGAATGTTTAGACAGAGAAAGAATTTAGGATCATCCAAAATCTTTACAGAGGAGGTTGCCGAGGATGTAGATGAGAAGTTACCTGCATGAGGCCAGAGTTAGTGTCAGAACTGAGTCAGGAGCTTTTGTCTCCCAAATCTTTTAACTTTCAATCCTGTGTCATGTTTTTAATAATCCCAACTTTCCTAAAAACAAGCATTTTCATAAGCTAGTTATTTTCATGGATTTCTCATCTATTTCCCCCCCTCAATCTAGACAGCTGTGTAGGGAAATTCTACCTGATATGGTATAGTGGCAAATTATTTGTGGCAATGAGAAAATCAGTTATAAAAATATTAGGAAATCTTTCCCCCATGTGAGCAGCATTCAGGGAATATCTAAACACTGAACATAATGACATTGTCAAAACCTCTTCCATTCAAGTATTGATTAACTTGTCAAATAAATGTTGTACATTTTACTTGAGGAACAGTCTAAGTGGGAAGTGAAATAATTATGAGGACTGCTGAGATTGCTTTGGTACAAAGTACTTTGCTAAGTTAGTTTATGATTTAACAAAGCTGATTGTCAGCAAGCACATTCATGAACCCTGCTTTGATTTTCCTAATGAAATTTTCCAGATCTGTTTTTGTAAAGAAATACATGGTGGGTAAAGATAGTCAAATCTAGTGGTGTGTGTGTGTCAAAGGCCCAGGGGCATTGGGGTGTGGGCACCAATAGTACTTGAGCTTTACAACCAAACATGATACAGAAGAAATTTGGTGAAAATGGGTAAAACCTGGTAACACTGTATCTGGGACCAAATTAAATCTTGATTGCTGCATAACTGACCATTGTGCAATATCTGTTCCAACTCTAAAAATGCCTCAAAATTACCTAGAGTGGTCTTGCAGGGTTGGGGAAGAGAGCAGACTATACCAGTAAGTCAGCAGTATAAGGGAAGACGAGGACAGACACCAGGAATCCTGCCTGATCCCTACTCCTCTACTCTCATGTAAATAGGAGCCTCAAATCCTTCTGGACTGAGCTGGGACACCCCCTCTTTTTCTCTACCTGCTGCTTCTTGACTGCTCCACGCACCTAGTCTCAGCAAGAGCCCGGAAGCAGTTGGCACAGTGGAAATTCCCTAAATCTGAAGCCTGCAAGGGATCACCCAAATTTTCCACACCCCAAAGATGACTCTGGCTGCATACTTCTAACAGTCATAGCAAGCTCTTGGCTGGAATGAGTCTGCAGATTTTCTTTTTTTTAAGATTTTTAAAAATATATTTCATTGACTTTTTACAGAGAGGAAGGGGGAGAGATAGAGAGCTAGAAACGTCGATGAGAGAGAAACATCGACCCGGTGCCTCTTGCACACCCCCCACCGGGGATGTGCCCACAACCAACGTACTTGCCCCTGACCGGAATCAAACCTGGGATCTTTCAGTCCGCAGACCGACCGACGCTCTACCACTCAGCCAAACTGGTTTCAGCGAGCCTGCAGATTTTCATTGTGGCTTTACTGTCCCTAGAACCAAAGTAAGCCTTGATTGCTACCTGACTGGCCGTTGTACAGTATCTATTCCAACATCAGAACTACCTCGGATTCATTTCCTATTGAGCACATACACAAGCACACATGATTTCTTGGTGCTGCTGTAGCTTTGAAAAAGAACAGCAACAAAACACCCATGAAAAATATTGATTAAATATTCATTAAAAGGTATGAAGTGCCCATATCAGGCTGTGTTAAGCTATTAGTATGTAAAAATATAGAAATGATTACATACCAGCAATAATATATATTTTTAATTTTATTTTATTGTGTAAAGGATTACAAATAGTAGTACATATGTCTCTTTTTTTTCCCCATTGACAACCCCCCCACCCCCCAGTCTCCCCTATCCCCCGGCACATGCCCTCACTCTCTCTCCCCCGAGTATCTTGCATCAATTGGTTATGCCTATATGTATTCATATAAGTCCTTCAGTTGATATCTTACCTCCCCCTGCCACAGCCCTCCCCTACCTTCCCGCTGTAGTTTGACAGTCTGTTTGATGCTTCTTTGCCTCTGTATCTACTTTTGTTCATCAGTTTATAATGTTCTTTATATTCCACAAATGAGTGAGATCATCTGGTATTTATCTTTCACTGACAGACTTATTTCATTTAGCATAATACTCTCCAGTTCCATCCATGCTGTTGCAAATGGTAAGAATTCCTTCTTTTTTACAGCAGTGTAGTATTCCATTGTGTAGATGTACCACAGTTTTCTAATCCACTCATCTGCAGATGGGCAGTTAGGCTGTTTCCAAATCTTAGCTTTTGTAAATTGTGAACACAGGGGTGCATATATCCAGCAATAATATTTGTATCATAACATGTAATTTATAGCCACACTCACCTCCATGATCTCATTTTATCCTCACAAAAATCTTAAGTAGAAAATGCATTATTGTTCTCATTTACAAGTGAATATACTGAGTTTCTGATATTGGTATCCTGATAAATGTTTTAAAATCAACTCGCTAGGCCTGGCTAGTGTGGCTTAGTTGGTTGGCTGTTGTCCTGTGCCTCACAAGGTTGCCAGTTTAATTCCCAGTCAAAGGCATAATCCAGGGGTTTGGGGCTCCATCACCAGTGGGGGGTATGCAGGAGGCAGCCAATTGATGTTGTGCTCTTACATCAATGTCTCTCTCCCTCTTCCTTCCTCTTACTCTAGAAATCAATAAACTATTCTTAAAGAAAAACACACAACTATCTGGAAAAAATTTTTAAGGTTCTTATTTATAGTATTTGCCCATTTTCCTGGTGTAAATACTCTGCCATGGCCTTTTTCCAAGCTGTCAACAGTTCACTGAATGCAGAGTTGGGAAGAGATATGAACCACCAGTTGGTCCTGTAAGCCTGTACAAGCTGATTCCAGTTCAGCGGTAGGTTCAGAGAAGGGAAAAGACAGGGCCAAGGCCACACAGATGGTTGATTCCTGAGCCAATCTTCCTTTTTATCCCAGAGCAAAGCAATAAATGGTTATGCAAAAGCCTTTATTTAAAAAAGCAAAAATGTAAGTATATCTGCAAGGCTGGATAAAAAAATAAAAGAGGACAGGGGACCCTAACTTGGTGGAAACTCTCACCCATGCATGCTGGTAGAGGGAGGAGCAACACACACACACACACACACACACACACACACACACACACACACACACACACAGACACCCGCTTCAGGGACCTCACTGCTCCACCCCCATTTGCATGTTCTGGAGGCCAGTCTCACATGTGACGCTAATTTTGAATTTGGGGAGATTTGTCTTGTTTGCCTAAACAAAACATTAGCTCTACCCACCCACCCCCCCAGGAGAGTCATACATTTCTCAAGCTATTTCCAGCTCCTCTGCACTCCTCGCAATACTTGTCATAACAGGAAGTCAGTTTCATATACTGTAATAATCCCCAAACACGTTGTGCCTGCACAGGGAGAGTGTGTGTGGGGGAGGGGAGGGAGGAGGGCATGCTGTGGGAGGAGGGAGGAAAGAGGAAGGAGTGAGGTGAGGCCAGGTCTCCCATCCCTAACCTGCTGTCCCCCTCAGAGGGCCAAAAGTCAGAAACCAGAATCTACATCCAGACATTGCTCTTCTTTCTCAGGCAGTTGGCAGTTCTTCTTCTTCTTTTTTTTAATAAAGCATTTGAGTAGGCAGCCAAGCCAGCCAGAACTGTTTATTTATAGCTGTGGGTTTTCAATGCTGTATAAATTAGAAATCGTTGCTGAATGAGGCCCGCGCCCACTCACACACGCGGGGCCGCTATGGGTGAGTCCTTTCACAGAGCTCGACTATACACAGTATAAAATGTGAGAAAATGACATGCTCGGAGTCAAATGACGGAGTCACAGCTAAACTGCAGAGCAGAAAACCAGCAATTATTCTTCCTCAGCACAATATGGGGAGGACGACAGGTGCAATTATCCAATATTATTTAACAGCACTGGTTTGCGGTATAGGGAGAAAATAAAGGTTTCCGTGTCTTGGAGAGGAAAATAAGGGACAGGACCTGCCTCTTGGCTCCTGTCCCTGTAGATTAAGCTGTGTTATGTAAATTGAAACTGGCCAGGGTTTCAAAAAGAAAACAGAACCACCTGGCTCCCTCACCTTCCTCCCAGAAGTTCGCAACCTGCGCCATTAGGATTTCTGAGAAAGGGCCCCTTGCTCTGGGGACCCTGAACATCCTGCTGAGGCTGTGGCTCTGGGCAGGACTGTGAGGAAGCTGGATTTGCTCAGATCCTGTCCCTGAGAGGGAACCCTCTCCTGCAGTGGGTCTCCCTCCCTCTGTTGAGTTAGGATGAGGCAAAAGAGAAGGCGCCCCACAAGGAATAATTCTCATTTCTTGAATTAAGTCTCTGGCTTTGGCCGCCAGCACACTTTTCTTCCTACTCCTAAGCCTCTCCTTAAACTCTACCTAAAAATATCTCCTTCTTCCTGCTACTATGGAATAAATATGTTGTTCTTCATGGCTTCAGAACTTACTGGAACATCACTTCCTAGTTCTCCTAAAAGGTTTCCTCTTCTCTCTCAGGCCCTGGGCTGATTACATTATTTAAGCTCCCCATTGCAGGCCACGTCAGTCCTACATGGCATACCAACACTCTCTCCTTTATTTCTCCTCTTGGCTTTT